GTAACTGTTCGAATGGAAGGGTACGAATAAATGGAATAACAATTTTTGCGTGTTTCACCGTACACCGTTTGGTATTTTTCGTGTTGTTTTTTGTTTTTACGGGGCACAGGATTTCGACAGGTATACCATACAGCTTTTGCGCAACTGACTTCTATTCTCAGCCTCTCTAGCCATCGGTAATTCTCACCCCTTGGGAACCAGCCTGGAAGGCGAGCTGCACCAACCGAAGCCAATGCTGAGGCTAACTTCTTCAAAGCTCTACGCCCTTTCATGCTCTGAACGCCGCTGCACTTCTTCCAGCCTTGCCCGGAACGTGCAAACAGAGCACGGCGAGGTAGTCGATAGGCAGGCATACGCAAAACATGACCGAGCAATCGGAGGCGGTGCAGAACGATTACTTCTGTTAGGGCACGACTATCCACACCCAACACATGACGACGGACTTCGTCATTGCTCACCCGATATTCCCACCAGACACGAGCAATACTTCGAAAGCATAGATGGTCGAATACGGAAAGTGGATTAGCAACCTCCGCTCGGAGAGGCCAGGTCTAGCAACTGTAAAGCAGAACACTACGGAGCGCGGATATGTATACCCTTCCCTTAAGGGACAGTCAGATGTCGCAGATTGGCGAAAGCTGCTTTAACTTTCGCTATTCGTGATGTGATCTCGTCCCCAACCCCACCGCCAGCTGTGATTAAGCTCCCGAGGTACTTAAAGCTCTCAACTACTTCCAGCTGATCACCACAGAGGTTGCGTGCAGGCACAGGCTCCTGTCAGTGTTGAACCAGCACTTTGCACTGATGGTGCAAAGCATATATCATATTTGGATACCTCGATCGCCATGCGGTTCAAAGTGTCTTAGACTGCCTGTGCATTGTCACTCAACAAGGTGATGTCATCGGGATATTCTAAGTCAAGTACTCTGTTCCCTGGGAGGAGTTCGACTTCACCGTTTGCTAGACCGGACAAAGCATTCTGTAGAACATCCTCAACCTTGTCGAACTCCACTAGAGACGGCGAAGGGTTTTTTATTACACAATGTGAATTACGGGGAAATCCCCATGGACAAAGAGCATACTGTAAAGAGGAGAGTAGGGGAACATTCACGTAAGATCCAGTTTATTGATTCTGCGTTTAAAAAGTGTAAGATTGTAAGTTGAGGGAAAAACAACGAGGTGTCAAGCGAGACCAAGTGTGTTTCCCCCTGGTTGTCGAGTGGAGCTGTCGAGGATTGTGAGACAAGATCCAGAAGGTCACCGGTGGAACGACGCGGTCGTTCAGTAGTCCTTCGCGTTCAAGGGACGTGTGTGGCCGGTCAGAAATGATAGTTTTGAATACTTTCGAAAAAGCAGATTTGAGGGAAATGGGTCGGTTATTGTTGGGGTTAGAAAGGTCGCTGCGTTTGGGAATGGGAAAAATCACGGCGTGTTTCCAGGGGGTTGGAAAGGTGGAAAGTTGGAGAGAAAGACTGAAAAGACGACGTAAAACAGGAGCCAGCTCGGGAGCACATTTTGAGGACGATGATTGGAATACCTTCCGGACCGGGTGGTTTGTTTGCGTTTAGAGAGCGCAATGTTTGACGAATTTTCCTAGTGCTGATATGAGATCTAAAAAGGTTTCCAGTGAGGAAGGAAGAGGGTCGAGGTTTAGAAAAATGGGATAAGGTGGAATTGGCGACAAACTGGGGAGCAAAAACCTCAGATTTCTCGTTTGGTTAACATACAAGATCACCAGAGGAATTGCAAATAGGGGTAAGTTGGAAGGGCGAAAATTACGGGATATTGCTTTATCAAGGGACCAAAATGTTCGGCTACCGGTGGCGGACCAGATGAAGTTTTCGGCTTTACGGCGAACAAAGCATTCTTTGGTCCTCTGAATGGTCGTCGAGCATCTGTTTCTAGCTTGCACGAAACGATGGTGGGAGAAGGGGATCGGTGAGCGGCGCCAGCAACGGTAGGCTGAAAGTTTTCGGCGTACAGCACGGTCACATGCATGGTTAAACCACTCAGGGGATTTGGGTTTGCCCGGTTTGGAAAAGTGCGGAATAAAAAGATGTATCCCTTGAAGGACAACGTGGGTGAAGTTGGTAGCGAA